CGACCTTCCGGCTTGTAGCTTAGTGCCTCAACCAACTGTGCTACCGCATATTGCCGGTGAAGGTCTAATGAAGATATTGCAGAGGAACAGCCATTGTGAAGAGTATCAGGTAAAGGCTATTGAAAGTTGACAGAAGAGACTTTGTGTGGAAATCAGCAACAGTGTTCTAGTTACGTGTAGTTACGACATAAACCCCGTCTACAGTCACTAATACACGTGACAATACACGGTCGCGTTTCTCACATATCAAGTATAAGCATTTTTTTATGTTTACGCATTCCCAAATACAGGTTAGTCCAGTCGTGGGGAAAGTTGCGAATTATAAATTTGTTTTCATTGGATAGGAATTGTTGTGACATTTCAGACGTGTGTTCAGGGATTCAATCCACTGACCTCGTGGATAAAAACAGATCACGGTTTTAATCTAACAAAAAAATGCTTAAAATATTCGAAACGGAAAATTTGAGGAAATATCGAATGTGAAACAATTGCTGCTGCGTGTGCAGACGTGCAACGGATACTATGGGACGTTCTCTACAGCAGGATTTTGGAGAGCGGTTGAATGACGTTGGTTGCAGATAAGAATGAGTACAAACTGCGGATAGCTGGTAATTAAGGGGTAGTTATGGTCTCTAATTAAAGGGGAAGAAGTAGGAGTAACAGCGACTACGGCGAACAAGAATAACAACTAGGACGTTGCTACGTATCCAAATGCCGCAGTTGCTTCTCAGTAACACTTCGTACATTTGTAAGCAAAGGTCCAATTTACTGCAACATTCTTACTTATTTAACAACCATAAACTAACAAGTTGTGTTATACAGAATCTATCTATCTATGGCCCTACAGCCCTTTGTTAAGCCTTGGCCGTTATTCAGTTTCTTAATCTTTTTATACAGTCTGTAGGACTCCTTGGACGGTTTTTCAGCCCTTCGCAAGGCCACTATGGGCCGCGCCATAGCTCAAGCGGTTAGTCGGTGGCTTCCAACCGCGTCGGCCCGGGTTCGATCCCGGTTCTGGTCAAGTGGGATTTGTGGTGGACAAAGTGGCGTTGGGGCAGGTTTTCTCCGAGTACTTCGGTTTCTCCTGCCAATCTTCATTCCACCAGTTGCTCCACAATCACTCTCAGCTATCATCTGGGGCAGGTACAATAGGCCAGAAGTGGCCGCAGTACAAGGGACTTAGTCCCACCCCACTAGCAATAAAACAATAGGCCACTACCTGCACACAGGAAAGCACAAACACAGAACAAGAGTAAACAGACATCTTTGTCTTAAGTGGAATTTGAACCAACGATCGCAGTGTTTGAGCTGGCGAAGACAGATCGTGTTTTAGACCACTCGGCCACAGCGATGGGCAGACTGAGTTTAAGTAGGAGGTAATAAAGAATAAAGTGAGAAGAATAATTAGAAGGCAGAAGAAGTTCTCCATGCGGTAGGTCTACATTTTCTTGAATACTGAAACAGTTGGAAAATGAACTCACTCCCGTATAATAACAATATGACGCGACTATCAGTCAAGTGAATGCAAATGAAAACCTGCCTCCTCTTGACAGAGTTCTAGACCCAAGGGCCCTGATCATTAATTGTTTTAACAGGTCTATGCTGTAATGAATATGCAACAGAAATTAAGGTTTGATCACTCTCACCGATGACAGAAACGCTATGTTGCCATGTAGTAAATATTAGTGGAGTGAGTAGTGAAAGCCTAACATAGCAACAGGCAACATTGTCGGCGTTACAAAAGAAGATCGTAAGTTCAGGCAACAGTGTAAACATTTCTCTAATAGCTTGGAGCTGGGTACAGATTGGACGATGACAGTTCGTTTTCCGTGAAACAATAAATAATTAACTAAATATCCAGCTAACTAACGAACCAACTAACTAACTCATTTGAACTGATTCCTATGAGCTCTGGAATTTCATTATCGTGTTTACATGATCCCGCTACACATCTTTATCCTGAGCCAGATCAATCCAGTCAGTATTTTCATCCTGTACTTTACAAATGCATATTTTAATGCTATTTTCTCATTTACGGTATAGACCTTCCAAGCGGGTTCTTCCTTTCAGTTTTCAGAATATAATTTAAATACATTTTTCACATCTCCGTGCGTGCAACATGGCCCGTCAGTCTCATCCTCTGTGATCTGTTGAAGAGTATAAATTATGAATCTCATTATTATGCAGTTACAGGAATTCCTAGATTTACGGCACGTAAAAGATCCTCATGTCTCTAGGAGACCTCTGAGCGAAATTAGGCAACAACTTCCGGCCCAAGTAGTTTCCAACACCTCTGGTAGATGGGGGAAATATCAGNGAGCCCTACATTCGCCCACTTATCCGAAAATCTGTAAAAACAGAATGGGATTTAAAATCACCATATGAGTGTATCTAATTTATTTCATATCGAATAAATACCCTTAAATACTCGAAATGTTTAGTCATGCATGACCATCTTCATGACGAGATACCAGATATTAAAAGAGTAAATTTATATATATACATATATAAATATAATATTTAAAGTGTCGAAGTCATAACGTTTGCATAAATAATTTAAACTAATGTTATTTGCACATCTTGGTATAAAGCCTTTTACTTTTCCATGTTCTGCTAAACCAACCTGCTGCATTAACATTGTAACATGTAGACCCATTTCTAGGCAATGCCCGAAATATGCGCACGCAACAATAGAACCAGTGTCGCAAGAGGTGTTTTCTATGTGGTTCGTATAAATTCATTGCCAGTTAACGGATCAATAAACGCTCATTCTTGACAACAGAAGACGGTGTTTCCCGTGGGGTCCGTGCCGAGGAGTTATTTTGAAGACAATCGACACTACAAGCACTACAAGACTGACTAACAAATGACAGACCCGACCTCTCGTCAGAGAGGGCGCTACACATGGACAGGACAGTAACTTTCATACAAAAGAAATATCTGGTCATGAGCCCCAGCTGGGGCTCGACACCAAGACAGACAGACTGACTGACCGTCAGTGGTAACGTGACTCTGACTCTGACTACAAGCAGTGGAGTACCCCCCGTGTGGAGGCGGGGTAGAATACCTCCACCGTGACCCTGCGAGTCGTAGGAGGCGACGAAAATGGAAGTCTCAAATGAGAGACAGTAAAATATGGCCGCAAGTCCCAAGGGACTAGGACCCTTGAAACACTGCGCTTGCAAGGGCCAGCAGAATATACAAGAGACAGACCCATCTCCTCGTCAGAGAGGGCGCCCCACAGAAACAAGACCGTAACTGTCGAGGAGTAATAAATATCTGGTCATGAGCCCCATGAGGGTGCTCGATACCAAGAATTACTGACTGGTTGATCGTCAGTCGTAATATGACTTTGACTTTGACTACAAGCAGTTGAGTTAAGGGTTCAGCTGTGGATGTTAACCAGCGGACAACGGAAGCTGTAGAATCTCTATTGTTAGGATTCTTTAGCGCGAGATGTCTAGTGAAAACACTACAGAAGAATAACCATTGTTGAGAGCTGTTACCATGTAAAGACTAGTGGAAATAGACTGAGAAGACTTAGTGTTGGGTGATTTGTAGTGTGGAAATCAGCAATAGTTAAATAATTAGTTGTAGTTACGACCTGTGATGGGTCAATAAATCTATTCACTCATCCATACCCCTATATATATTATATATAATTTTGTTTGAACAACGTGACATAGTTTGATAGGGTTCATAGGATATACCCCTTGAAGATATTTATTTAAGACCGAAACAAGTTGGAGTTTTAATAGCATTTAAGCCGAAGAAAAAATATGCATACTCAGGTGATGTGTTAACATCTAATTTTAACATAATTATTTCGGAAGAATGAACCTTTCCAAACCGTGTAAAAACAATATTCCTTAAATCTCTATTGGAAGATACTGTGACATGATATCCCGAAAACGAAATACTGAAGTCAGAATAGATGTTCATTGCTAGGCAACGACTGGTAAACATATTCCCGCCGCAATGATTACTCAAGAAACAATCGAGTTACTTCCGTTGATATGCAACGGTGCTGTAAAGACGACTTTCCAACAATAAATAGGCTGTGTTTTCGCGTGGTCCGTGCGAAGTTGTTATAAAGAAGAGTTAATGTGAGAAGAACTGAGTTGAGTTTCTAGACGCCAGGTTTCCAAGATATGAGCTAGGGAGCAGAGGAATTGAATTGAGTCGAGTCTTCGAAATTTTTTGGGAGAGGGGCAATGTGAGGTCAAATAAATGACGCAGGCGACGGAACGCGACGCTGTGCTAGTCGACGACACGACTCAGCAAGTTACAGGTGCTGATGGAAATCATGTCATCATGTGCGCACGGTAGCAATCAGTTTGTGGTCGACACGAGGGCCTTATAGGCCGGAAGTCATCGGGGGGGTGTGGTCATAAAAGTAGGAATATAAGTTGCAACATGCATCGTATCCATCCCTACCAAAGTTTCAATTGCTAAATAGGCGTGGTCAGCATTCCTTATTGGCTACTTTAATGGGGTCTCCTATAGTTTAATCCACCAATGAGGCTCATGCGCGCGTTTGCCAAATCATTTTCAGTCGATAACTCGTGGCAACTTGAAGTCGCTGTTGGAAGAGAGGAAAAGTTTTGGGGAGGACTGCAAGCAGCCAGCAGTGAACTAAAAATCTCTCTCACATGACGCAACAAGTCACAAACAAGGATCGAACACAGGAACATAAATGAAAATTGGCAACACCGGAACCGTTCAACCAACACGTGAGTGAAAAAAAAAAGGATAGAAGAACTGGGATTGTATCGTGTGTTTATTGTGCCATAAATACAGGAAACATTGGCGCAGTGGGGTGAATTCTAACGGACCGCACGTACGTTAGAGACTGTAAAATAACATAGCAACGTTTCCCTTTCTTTCCATAAGTTTCCAAGGTAACAAATCAGAATACGGATTAAAGTGGCGTGAAATGATGGCATCGAAGTGTTTTCGTGTGGACGTAGCATTTGTGTATTGCACACAACTGAGGTAGGATGCTGACCACTCCCCGAGTAGTGGTCCACCCCGCGTCCAGGCCATCCAGCCGTATTCAGCAGTACCAAGACGAAAGCGATTACGACGACGAAGAAGACGAAGATCCCGACGACAATTTCCTACACCCGTCATTCATGACGTCAATCACGGCTGCTGAAATCGCAAACGACAACGCTGCCATCGACATCAACGATGCTGGCCGTGGCGGCGACGGTGGAGCTGACGACACCGCGCCACGTAGCGAGCAAATTACGAACCATCACGCTAATAACTCTGTAGGCGCATCCTCATCTGTGGGCGCCAACAATCACATTGCGTTGCGACGCAGCTCTGCATCTATCCATCGTAAAGCTGTTGAAGACGAGGACTACGAAGACGACGACGAGGCTAAGGGAACATTACGGCCTCCTGAAACTGGTGGGGGTGGGAGTGGGGGTTACTGGGGGGCGGCAAGTCGTCCTTCCAGCCCTGGAGTTATTATGGGTGATGCTGGGGGTGGTAGTGAAACTTCTTCAATAATGCCACCCCCATCGAGACCAAAGTCAAGATTGGATCAAGGTGGAGCTACAAGTAAATATAATAATTTATCATATTGGAGAGCAAGAAAAGTGTTGTTTTACAAGAATGGTGACCCGTTTTTCCCTGGTGTGGAGTTCAGGTTCAAGCCCGGAAGGGATATTGTCAGTCTTGAATCTCTGTTAGACAAACTGTCTCTGAGAATGGACTTACCGAGAGGGGCACGCTTTGTATTCTCCATGGATGGTGACCGGAAGTTGAGGTTAGAGGAACTTGAAGATGGCGCCTCCTACGTCGTATCATCATATAAAACATTCAAGGTGAGTAGCCTCATCACCTGCAGCGTAAGTGATTTCTATATTTGCACAGTGATATTGCCTCATTTCTCATTTGGGACCAGCGGTTGATTGTAATGCTTCTAATTCCCATCTGTTGCAAATAATGAGCGGCCAAGTGAGTCATCTTAGAGAGGTATATAAGATGACTGATGGTTAATTCCGAATTTTTGCTATTTCATCTTTCAATGCAGGCAGCGTTATAAGCTCTGTTTGATTTTGCTCAATGTAATTTCAATTTCGGATTCCTCAACACATCAAATGTGTTTTTATTGACATTCTGCCGAACGGTGCAGCCAATGGTAAACTATATTTCAGTTGACGCTTTTATATCATATGATTTCTTCTTATTATTATTATTATTGTTATTTTCACGTATTAGGGGTTAGCGTGACGAAAAATTATGGGTTCTAGATTTAATTACTGGATTTACTGGACGTCTCTATTACAATTATAGTTGATTATAACAGTTCGCACGTTGAACTCCTTCTTGATAACGAATCTCTCACTGCTATCTGGTTCTCGGACTGGTCTCTACTCTCTCGAATTCTCTTTCTGGATCTCTGAATCTCGGACTGGTCTCTGGTCTCTCGAATTCTCTATCTGGATCTCTGAATCTCTGACTGGTCTCTACTCTCTCGAATTCTCTATCTGGATCTCTGAATCTCTGACTGGTCTCTACTCTCTCGAATTATCTATCTGGATCTCTGAACCTCTGACTGGTCTCTACTCTCTCGAATTCTCTATCTGCATCTCTGAATCTCGGACTGGTCTCTAGTCTCTCGAATTCTCTATCTGGATATCCGAATCTCGGACTGACTTAACTTCATGCGAACCGAAGTAGAACAGTTGATTGTTCTCTGTTTTTCTCCGTTGCCATGAAACCGTCTGACAATCTCGGGGCAATGCCTTGACCTATACCGGCGTATTCGTTGCCACGGAAACGTGTTTTAGATAGCCGTTGTAAAGTAAACTTAGTGTTTACTTATTCGTTGCTCATCACCGGACGTCTAGCTCTGGCTCGCCTATTCCGGCTTTCAGACGTCATGTCACACTATTATTATATAGGCATAATTTTTAAAATTCTTCTCTACTGCTGGTTTCTCGCTGCTATCAATAACAATAATAAAGGAATTACAATTAATCTTTATAAAATGCATCCTGCTGTGTGTGTACTATTTCATTACTTATATTACGATCGTCGACACAAGTAATATGGGAATATCTTCAATAAAAGACATAGATGTTGCTGTATGTCTTACGTGTTTGATATAAACGTAACTTTGCCACATGTTTCGACCATAAAAGTTGTTCATCATCAGGCATTTATGAACATAACTGAAGTGATTAAAATATTGGTTATAATATGGATCCGTATTCTTGCAACTGATGAGTGTGTTGTTAGCGAATATATATTTATATATAAGGCATATATATATACGATTTAGTATACAATTCATGCTATGATTATGATTAAAACATAGAGATAAAATAAAAATATGGAAATAGAAATATTAAAAATATAAATAGCATAGAGACTAATTATATACTTATTTAAATCTCAGGTTAGATGCTGTGCTTGGTCACGTGCAGTCTTCAACTGACGTGTACTGGTATGCTGGAAAGGGGGGGGCTTGTGTTATTTCTCGCTTGTTGTCATGCAGAGCATGTATTCTATTGTATGGAATAAATCTTATTGTTATTTCTTGCACTTCCCACGGTTATCCCAGATTATTGTGGAAGCTTAGGTCTTTTGGAAATGTAGGTTTAAATTTCATGGTTAAATTTAATTGATCGCACTTTATAACTTACCTTTCAGGTGTCGAGGAAGCACGTAAATAGATAAAGAATTTTACTGAAATTTTATACTGGTAACATCTCAAACAGCTTTACAGCATTTGAAAGCTCAGGGGCTGAGGTGGATATTAATAGAGCTTGGGAAACCATCAGAGGGAATATAAAAATTTCAGCGAAAGCGAATATAGGTTATTATGAATTGAAAAAGCATAAGACATGGTTCGATGAAAGATGCTCAGAATTATTATACCAAAGGAAACAAGCCAAATTGTAGTGGTTACAGGATCCAAGCGAAATAAACGGGGATAATCTGAACAATATAAGACGTGAAACCAGCAGGCATTTCGGGAATAAAAAGTGGGAATATCTGAAAAACAAAATTAATGAGCTTGCAACGAACACAAGAATAAGAAGATTAGAGACTTGTATAGAGGAATAAATGGCTTTAAGAGGGGTTACCAACCTAACAGTGACTTAGTGAAGGATGAGAATGGTGATCTGCTTGCAGATTCCCACAACATTTTGAATAGGTGGAGGAACTACTTCTCTCAGTTATTGAATGTACATAGGGTCAGTGATGTTAGGCAGACAGAAATCCACACTGCTAAGCCGTTATTGTCTGATCCTAGCCCTTTTGAGGTTGAAAGTGCAACTGCAAATTTGGAAAGGTATAAATCTCCAGGTAGTGATCAAATTCCTGCAGAAATGATTCAAGCAGGGGGTGAAATGTTACGGTCTGAAGTCTATAAATCATTAATTCTATTTGGAGTAAGGAAGAATTGCCTGATCAGAGGAAGGAGTCTATTATTGTACCAGTTAAAAAGAAGAGTGACAAAACTGAGTGCAGTAATTATAGTGGGATATCACTGCTATCAACTTCATACAAAATTTTACACAATATTCTTCTCCGACGGTTAAGTCCATACATAGGTGAAATTATTGGGGACCATCGGTGAGTGTTTCGACGTAGCAGATCAACTACTGATAAGATATTTTGCATTCGTCAGATACTGGAGAAAAAATGGGAGTACGATGAGACAGTACATCAGCTATTCATAGACTTCAAGAAAGCCAACGATTCAGTTAGGAGGGAAGTATTGTACATATTCTAATAGAGTCTGGGATACCCACGAAACTAGTTAGGTTGATTAAAATGTGTTTAAACTAAACGCATAGTAAAGTCCGTGTAGGTAAACATCTGTCTGATAAATATCCTATCCAGAATGATCTAAAACAAGGAGGCGATTTATCATCACTGCTTTTCAACTTTGCTTTAGAAAATGCTATTAGGAAGGTCCAGGAACGCCTGGTGGGGCTGAAATGAAATAGGAAATATCAGCTGTTAGTCTACGCTGATGATGTGGATGTACTGGGTGATAATATAGATACCATAAAGAGAAACACAAAAATTAATTGACGCTAATAAGGAGGTTGGTCTAGAATTAAACACAGAGAAAACTAAGTATATGTTGCTGACATGTCTGTAAGTGGTCCGAACACTGCCCATCATTTGTTATAAATTCTCATACTCGTATTCTGAAGATGGTGACAGTATGTACCGTCGAAACGTCTGAATACTTTCACACTAGTACTTGGCGTCAGAATCAAGAGTACAAACCCGGAATATAAAAATACTGCTCCAAGATTGATTCTGAAAAATGAGGTAGCAATTTCCTCCAAATCGTCCGTAATATCTGCATTCCTTGACGCTTAAAAATGAAATGTGTTTACGTGAATAAAACTGAGCCGGTATAGCTCAGTCGGTATAGCGAATGGCTACAGGATGGACGACCGAGGGGTCGGAGTTCGAGTCCCGGTAGGGTCAAGAATTTTCTCTTCTTCATATCGTCCAGACTTGCTCTAGAGTTCTCCCAGCCTCCTATCCAATGTGTACCGGGGGTAAAATTGCCGGGGCGTAGCGCTGACCACTCACCTCCAAATGTGGATCTATACAGCAGTTCCCCCACACGCCTTAATGCAGTAGTGCTTAGTTAGTTAAGCACAAGGACAACTTTACCATTTTATGCCATTATAAGCTGAACAGCAATAAGCGGATGCAGAAGCCAAGTTCGTTTCTCTCTCAGCAGAATATTTGGAGCGCCGTGCTCTATCGGCAACTTCTCCGACGCCACTGTCGTGTGGGGCAGTCTAAACCAACCGGACTAAAACTCGAAGGAAACGTAAAATCAAATATTTAGCATCTGCTAATAAGAAGTTTTGAGGCGAATCACAGTACAAGCACGGCCTAAGGCATTAACTGTTTCGCTCGCTCGGGCACTGGTGTTGTGGGTTCGAATCCCACTCAAGGCATGAATGTTTGTGTGCGTTTATGCTGTTTGTGTTGTTCTATGTGTACGTGAGGCCTTTGCGAAGGGCTGATCCCCCGTCCAAGGAGTCCTACCGACTGTGTATAGGATTAAGAAACTGAAAAGAGGTCAAGTCCCAACAAAGAGCTGTAGAGCCATAGATAGATAAGAAGTTTCCTTTTTTTTTAATTAAGCATCATTCCATGGTGGCAGAGCTCCACACATTATTAACCCCGTCTACAGATGAAGGTAGGAGCTGGGGTAGTACAGTCGGTATAACAACTTGCTACGTGCAGGGCGGCAGAGGTGTCTGAGTTCGTGTCCCGGTCGAAGCAAAATTTTTCTCATTTCCAGACCGGTTCTAAGGCGCACCCAGCCTCCTATCCAATGGGTACCGGGGATTCTTTCCTCGGGGTGAAGTGACTGGGGTGTGAAACTGACCACTCAATTCCAACTAATGCTGAGGTAAAGATTAGGTGGATCTATACGTCCACTCTCACATATGTCTTCATTGCGTAGTGCTTAATTAGTTACGCACAGAGACAATTTTGCCTTTGCCTCGATGATAATGACCAGCTTCACGCCCCGGTCGCCTTACATCCGAGGAAGGAGCCCGGAGCATCCACTGGAAAGGAGGTTGGATTAGCCCAAGAGTCAGTCTGTACGGTGTGTACATTATTTAATTTTTTCATTCAGAAATGTTATGCAACATGAAAGGAAGGAAGGAAGAAAATTATCAACATTTATATGTGACTGAAATAATAATATGTTTAACTTATTAACTTTTAAAAGATTTCTTTAACACCCTGGTTCATCAAACTCCTCTACATTACTGAAAACTTGATAATGAAGGGCAAAGAAAATACCAGATCCACAGTTGTT